AAGTGCCTTAGCCACTATGCTACCAGAGCTCCTATATATATATATATATATATATATATATATATATATACATACATACATACATATATGTGTGTGTATGTGTGTGTATGCATTTTTCCATTATTGACATGGATAGGTTCCAAAAACCAGGCTGTTACATGAAAATCAGCATTATGTGAAAATGAAGGATGATCATATCAGATCACAAAATGGAGGATGACTACATAATTACTTAACTGTGAAATTACATCATTACATAACTGCAAAGGCACATCATTTCATAACAGCCCAACCACTGAGAATCACGGCCCAACCAAGCTGACACATAACGTTAACCATCACAAACAGTTACTTTGCCTCACACCTCAGAATTCATTACTGCCAGGTGTTTGCTGTTAAGGCACAAAATACATGGATAGTAGATTTTTTTTTTTTTTTTTTTACTATTTTCACAAATGCAAAATGTCAGATAATGAGATATTTGGTAAGTGAAGAGTCAGTGTACTATGTAAGTAATATCAATAGATTTTAAAGAATCTTTCATTTCTGCAGCAGACCCAATTTTCAACATATGTCATTGCTATTGTTGTTGTTAGCTGCCATTGAATCAGCTCAGACTCATAGCAACCCTATGGGCAAAAGAACAAAACACTGCCCAGTCCTATGCCATCCTTACAATCTTTGCTGTGCTTGACTCCATCGCTGCAGCCACTCCGTCAATCCACCTTGTTGAGGGTCTTCCCTTTTTTCCTGACCTTTCACTTTACCAAGTGTGATATCCTTCTCCAAAGAATGGTCCCATCTGACAATGTGACCAAAGTAGGTAAGATGAAGTCTAGCCATTCTCACTTCCAAGGAGCAATCCTGCTGCACTTCTTCCAGGACAAATTTATTCTTTCTCTGGCATCATATTTTCAGTATTCTTCACCTGCACCACAATTTAAAGGCACCAACTCTTCTTCAGTCTTTCTTATTCCTTGGCTAGCTTTCACATGCATATGAGGCTATTGAAAATACTATGGCTTGGGTCAGGTGTACCTTTGTTTTCAAAGTGATATCTTTGGTTCTTAACACTTTGAAGAGGTCTTTTGCAGCATATTTGCCCAGTGCAATATGTCATCTGATTTTTTGACTGCTGCTTCCATGATCTTTGATTGTTTACCCAAGTGAAATGAAATCTCTGACAACCTCAATCTTTTCTCCATTTACCATGATGTTACTTATTGTTCGAATTTTGAGGATTTTTGTTTTCTTAAGAGTAATCTATACTGAAGACTGTAGTCTTTGACCTTCATCACTAAGTGCTTTAAGTCTTCTTTGCTTTTAGCAAACAAGGTTGTGTCATCTGCATATTGCAGGTTGTTAATGAGTCTTCCTCCAATCCTGATGCTGCATTCTTTAGTCCAGATTCTTAGATTATTTTCTTAGCATACAGATTGAATAAGTATGGTGAAAGAATGCAACCCTGATGCACACCCTTCATGATTTTAAACTGTACAATATCCAATCATTCTGTGTGAATGACAGCCTCTTGGTCTATGTACAGTTTCTTCATGAGTACAGTTAAGTGTTCTGGAATTCCCAATCTTTGCGATGTTATTCATAATTTGTTATGCTCCACACAGTTGAATGCCTTTTCGTATTCAATAAAACACAGGTAAACATCTTTCTGTTATTCTTTGCTTTTATCCAAGATCCATCTGACATCAGCAATGGCATCCCTCATTCCATGTCATCTTCTGAAACTGGCTTGCATTTGTGGAAGTTCCCAGTCAATAGACTGCAGCAACCATTTTTGACATATCTTCAGCGAAATTCTACCTGCATGTGATATTAATGATATTGTTCAATAATTTCCACATTCTGTTGGATCACCTTTCTTTGGAATGGCACAAATAGTGATCTCTTACAGTCAGTTGGCCAGGTAGTTGTCTTCTAAATTTCTTGGCATAAATGAGAGAGCACTTCCAGCACTGTATCCATTTGTTGAAACATCTCAATCGGTATAACAACAGTGCCTGAGCCTTATTTTTCACCAATTCCTTCAGTGCAACTTGGACTTTTTCTTTCAATACCATTGGTTCTTTATCATATGCTACCTCCTGAAATGTGTGAATGTTGACCAATTATTTTTGGTATAGTAACTTGGTATACAGCTTCTATCTTCTTTTGACGCCTCCTGCATCATTCAACATTTTGCCATAAAATCTTTTAAGACATACACCAGGAATATACAAAATTGTGAGATTCCATTTCCGTAGAGTTCCAAAAACAGTCTTTTGAAGTTTTTGTTCTAGTAAAAGGCTTGGCAGAATTCACTGACAAATCCAGCAGTTTAAAGCAAGTCTTGTTTTCTTCCAATTTCTGAGTGACAACAGAACTGCAAAAGCAAACCTTACTCCATTTTTCTCATCACAGCAGGACAACTCCTCCCCGGGAATGGTTGAATCAACTGCAAAACACACAACCATTTTAGCTGGTTGAAAGTGGTAGCATTCATGTTGAAATGTGAGGTCACCAAGGACACTTGAAAGAGAATAATGCAAGATGAAAAGGAAGCTAAGTCAAACCCCAGTTAGCATTTTAAAATATTCATAATGGAGACTGGACAAAAGGAGAATTCTCTCAAGTCAATATTTAAAGTTTCTTTGCAACACTGGGTGGACATAATTTTAAGTCTGAATGGAAACCAGTAATTTGAAGATAAGAAACAAATGAGTACACTAAAATATACTAAAGAAAAAAGCAATCCACGTGGATTCATAAGATAACAGTATTTGTTTGGGAGCACTTTAAATTTTCTATACACTTTAAAAATATATATCTTATTTTCTTATTTTATAACCAGAAAAATTTATCCTAGTCCATGTTGTTGTGAGCTGCCTTAAAGTTGGCTCCCAACTTATGGTGACCCCAAACACAACAGAACTAAATGCTGCCTAGGCCTGCACCATCCTTATGATTGGTTGTAGATTGGACCCTTGTGATCCATAGAGTTTTCATTAGCTGATTTTTGGAAGTAGATCTCCAGGCCTTTCTTCCTAGTCTGTCTTAGTCTGAGACCTCCACTGAGACATGTTCAACATCACAGCACCTTGCAAATTGGCAGACAGGTGGTGGTGACAGATGCAATGGGTGCACTGACCAATAATCAAACCTATATCTCCCACACGGAAGGCACTAATTCTATCAGTGAACCACCACTGCTCCTAATCCTAGTCCATACCTCATGTTAATTTAATAAGGCAATTTAATGACAGAAGTTGAATTTATTCTTCGCATAGCACTAAAGTAAATAGGACTCCAACTCTATGAAGTAACTGGGATTCCGTTACCACAGCTGAGAACATCTTACAGGTTCTGAGTATCACTGCTCATTTGCATTTTCATTATTTTTTAAAATCTTCTCTAACAATGAAACCATCAAAATTTTCAACTTGAATTGACCTTAAAAATCATTCGTACCCAGTTCTTTAACTTTAAAAATGAAGAAATCAAAACTCAGAGTGGTTAAGCAGACTTAAAATGAAATTCAGCATCAAGCACCTAATTCAGAGAGTGAAAATAATAACATCACAGCCCACCTATGGAGCCTTACTTTACTCACTTTACTTTCTCCAAGATTCAGGCTATCTAATCATCAAAGTTAAGCCAGGAAAAAGAATAATCATGATGAACAAAAAATGAAATATCAAAGCTTAGAGCCCACTCACTATTGATGGGCTCCATCACAACCTCTCAGGTAGAGGTAAATGCTGATTAATTCTGAAATGTACATGTGGAAATTATTGATTTGGCAAATATTTCCTTATGTATATTTTCACCACAATAATAAAAAGAAAAAAAATTGCTATTAATTGCCATCATAAAGTTATTTAAAAATAATAATAAGGGTTTGCATTTCTCAGAATTGATCTAACCTTCTAGCATTATCTAGGAAAATGATCATCCAATCCAATCCCCATAATTCTGCACATAGCCTAGGACATCACAAAGCTATTTTTAGCTCAATTGTTCAGTAAAGTAAATGTACCTCCCAGCCTTCAATGTGAGACTGCCATTCCTCTAAAACTTCTAATTTTTCCATCTGTCTCTTGGCCTCGTTTATGTTGGAGCAGACAGCTTTCATGGCTTGGAGGGCTTCCATCACTGCGGCATAGTCACTGTGTTTCCTTGGAGTCCGCTTCAACAACTCCTGTTTACACACAGAAAAACAAACAGATTGCCCTTTGATCTTCAGCTTTCTGGTACAGCAGGTTCAGACTGACCAGGAAATGAAAACTGCAAAGATCATGAGAACCACTTCCACAAGTGACATCACAAACTCCACCAAGATTAAGATCAAAACCAAAAGGCTGAATCAATGAGTGAAGTGTTACCCTGATGTACATTTTGTAGTTACTTTAATTTTTCCCCTCAAAATTATTTTGTATTTAAAAACTAAGTTAGATTTTACCTTACAAATCCTTAAATATCTCACCAGTAGCATGTAAATTTTTTAAAAGCATGACCTTCTCTCTAACAGAGCACATATTTATTACATGTTAATTTCATATCCCTAGAGATTCTAATAGAGTAATAGATCTTTACATAAATATGCCCTATAATATCAAAAATAATTTAAGTACCTTATTTTCTAAATATTTTTGAGAACCTGTAGAAATGTAATGAAAGCCAAAATTTTGAAGTAATACATTAGAGCAAAATAAAAAAATTATAAACTCCACAATACTCTATCAGCAAAGGAGCAATATATGATGTTTTCTTCAATAATTCAGATTCATTCTCTGTGATGAATGAATGAACTGTCATGCACCCTTCAATAGCCTTCTTTTGGGTTTTTTTTTGGGGGGGTGGCTTTATGTATTTTTTTCCATTCAGGATACTAGAATTTTAAACATATTAAAATGAAATGTCATGCTACTTGTTACTTACAAGCACAAAATTAAACATCTTCACCTGCTGTCTAGACAGTTGTGACCACATTGCTTCATAATTAGTCATTCATTTCTTTATTACAGTTGCCATCTTCATGTAACTAACATAATTACAGAAAATCTGAGGTAATTCTTCAAAAGAATTTTCTTAATTCTCTACTACAGTGGAAGAAAATGCAGTAACTATCCTTTCTTGAGCTCTGTTATTGTTGAAAATTCTGCCATAAACTCTGAACAGTCAATACGTTCACACACTGTTCTACAGAGCTAACATATATACATGCCAAAAATACAGTATATCACTTCCAACACAGGTTTTAGAAACGTATGCTGGATCACTAATTCATAAAAAAGAAATGTGGACTCCCCAAGAAGTCTAAAGACAAGAGGCATTTGCAAATTATGTGAAGTGGTCAACTCAGCTGGCACACCATGATGTAGGCCCTAGGGATTGTGCCCAGTGAGTATCTGTGGAGTTGGGATATGAATTTGGATTGCAGGAAATAGTAAGAGAAACTTGTAAGTAATTATCTTTGGACAGTTACTTTTTATGTAACATGTACTGATTGGACAATCCAATAATTTCAAGTTCCACAAATAATTTCAAGTGTTTTATTAGTTCTACCATACCACATTTTACCATTATTTTATCAATAATGATTTAAGAACCAGGCTCTGAAATAATGTAAATTTGGCTTTAAGAAGTGTGGTGGTTATGTTTGTGTGCCAACTTGTCTGGGCCTGGTTGATTGGCTGGGCAGCTGGTGGTAGTTATTCCCCATGATAAGACTGGCAATCAACTCCATGGTGGGATCTACCACAAGCAGCTGAGTAGCTGCCTTTGGGATGTGGTCTGCTTACTGTCTATAAGGAAAAGCCTTGGGAAATATCTCTAGCTCTGGTAGCATAGTGGCTAAGACACTTGCCTGCTAACCAGACGGCTGGCGGTTCAAACCCACCAGCCACTCCTCGGAAGGAAGGTTGGGCAATCCTACTTCCGTAGTGATACTGCCTCGGAAACCCAAGGAGGGGTCGCTATGAGTTGGGGCCGACTCGACGGCACATAACAACAACAACATGGCATGCTTGGACCCTGCATGTAGCCGCATCATTGCTCAGCAGCCTGCTATGCTCTGCCAACCCTGGGATTTACAATGGACTTAAGATAATGGCCTGCCTTGTGGTTTGATAACATCGGGACTGTGCCTTTTTATTCGTCAACCTTGGGCTTCTCAGCCTAAGCAGCCAGCAGCTGTCTGAGTAAAGAAACATCTCTAGCTTCAGTGGGCCAGGAGCAGGAGGCAGAGCTGGACCCCAAGGTTGAGGGGCTTTCACCCAGCCCCTAGAGCCTGGCACTTTGAACATGGACTTAAAGCTTCCAAATTGTAAGAATAAACTCCTATTTGTTAAGGTCATCCCATTTGTAGTATATATTCTTGTCAGAGCAGCACTAGATAACCAGAACATGAAGTCACTAAGGTTAGAAGAAATTTAAAAATATAACTAACAGCCCTATAGAAAAGGAGCAGTAAAACTGGTTATAAAGTACTTAATGGAATCTATCTTAAAGGGACCATCTGAAACTAATGCATTTACTCTAAATGAAATTCAAGCAAGCGTATTCTCTACAAAGAACACTCTTTTCCATAAGATTTGTTGTCTATTCCACATATAAACTGAGTCACAAAATAGTCATTTTTCTAATAACATGATCTGCTTTTTCCTTAAATGTCAGGATGTTAACATGAGAATTTAAAGTAAGATCATCAGAAAAAATATTGAGGTACTAAACAAAGGCAACAATAAAGCAAATACATAAATTACCTTCAAAAGGAGAGGGTACTTGCATATTCTCTGTATTGGTGTTACTAAATATCCTTCCAGGGGAACATCTGTGTTCTTCCGGCCTCCAAGTAGCATGCAGTTCTAAGTGAAAACAAACATGTTTAATTATATTTTTTAAAACTTAAAGCTATGAAACTTTGTTCTACCATAAATTCTCTGCTTAAAAACTTATGAAAGCACATCTTTTTATATAGCTCTTTTTTTCTTAGAAGAGTATATTCAGTCACAAATAACATTTACAGAGTGAGAAAGAATGCTTTTACCTTTCATGTTAGTTACAGAGACTAAAATGTTTTCAAATCCACAAAAGTTTGAAGCTATGCCTTAAAAATTAATCTTAAAATTAATACATAAATTTTCTAAATTTGAAGCCTGCTAGAGATAGAGGAATGAATAAGTAGATAGATGAATGGAAGGATGATAGACAGATAGATGGGTAGGTGGGTGGGTGGGTGGATGGATAGATAGATAATTACAAAGAAAGATAGATAGACAGATCTTTCTTCTTTCTTTGTACTGTCGTAGAGTCAGATCCAACTCATAGCGATCACTCCTTGGGTTGCCGAAGTTATATCACTACAGAAGTAGATTGCTCAACCTTCCTTCCAAGGAGTGGCTGGTGGGTTTGAACTGCCAGTCTTCTGGTTAGCAGTCAAACGCCTTAGGCACTATGCCACCAGAGCTCTCTAGATAGATAGATAGATCCCATGTATAAAGGGAAATAGCATGATTTTATAGAAGAAAAAATATAAAGATTCTAACCCAGGCTTTGTCACTCATTTCAGAATTCCAATTTTCCTCTCTGTAAAACTGACAGGTTTTACCCAGTGATCTCCAAGCCACGTTTAGCTATAACAGTTCATCAATGACACTGACAAGCTAGTGCCCACAATTCTGCCAGCCTAATGTTGTCATCCCAATTGGGATAAATGACAGACTGGCAGATTAGCCAAAATTTTAACAAGAATAACATGGAGAGCCTGGAATTAGAGAAAATCTTCACTTATGCCTGGCTGACCGGGAGGCTGTACATACATGCAGGGAAGACCAGAGAAGACACCAAGGAATGAGAAATGTAGATCAGACTTGAAAACGCTTGGCCTTCAAATGTGCCTCACACTCACACAGAGACCCATGAACAAGACAGAAGGCAATATTAAGAGTACAGCTTCTGACAAATCATTGACTGACCACTAAGCTAAGCAGTTGCATGGGGGAACCACACAAATCTAGTTAAATTATACAAAAATTAACAAAGAAATTTTACAAAATCTGAACAGAGATATCAGCAGCAGCACACCATAAGAGAGACTCCAGATTCTGGAGTGGCACAAATTCTTTATACTCAACTGGTAACCAAAATGTTGGCAGTTCAAACCCACCCAGTGGCATCACAGAAAAATCAGGCTTGACAATCTGCTTCTGTAAAGATTACAGCCAAGAAAACTCTATGGAGCAGTCTACTCTGTAATACATGGGGTCTCCAAAGTCACAAACCAACAATAAATGCACAATCAATGAAAGATCCTGTAGATTGTCCAGGTATATTATTAAAATGAAACAAACAAAAAAAGGAATAATGACCAACCTCAAGGAGAAAACATTAGAATACAGAGTTGCTACAATATATTATTTAATTTGTCCAGCTTTCGGTAAAATAAATGGTGAGATATGTAAAGAACTAAGAAAGCACGATGCATATACAGTCAAGAGAAACTAACTTTGAGTACACCAGATGTTGTTTAAAGACTTAAAGGACCATTTGCTAATATTAGATAAACAAACAGAAAATCTCTGAGGAGTGCTGTTCTAGGCCAAGATCACATGTGTGATCTTTCAGGTCAAACCATAGGCAATCACAAGGCTTTGCCTGGCAGACCTCATGAGGGGAACTGCCCTCAATACACAACCAGTCTTCTGGAGAGAGAGACTGTCAAGGTCTCAGCCTAGCCCCCAACCCCTCACACCTAGAGTGCAATTCTTATACATATATCTGCATTTCCAGCCCAGGTACCTCCATTCAGAGGCCTCCTTATTGAGGAGCCCTGGTTGAGACATTTTTCCTCACTTTCACTCAGTACCTTCACTCCTAGCTCTTTGTCTCTTTCTTACACCAACCTGTAGTTTGGTGCTATCGACTCGGTTCCAATTCTTAGTGACCACATGTACAACAGAACAAAACACTGCCCAATTCTGCCTTACTCTCATGATCATTGCTATGTTTGAGTCCAATGTTGCAGCAACTATGTCAATCCATTTCACTGGGGGTCTTCCTCTTCTTCATTCACCCTCTACTTTACCAGACATGACGTCCTTCTCCAGTGACTAGTGCCTCCTGATAAGAAATCCAAAGTATGTAAAATAAAGTCTTGTCATCCCTGTTTCTAAAGAGCAAACCAGTTGTACTACTTCTAAGCAGATTTGTTCATTCTTCTGACAGTCCATGATATATTCAATACTCTTCACCAACAGAATTCAAAGGCATCAATTTTTCTTCAGTCTTCGTATTCATAGTTCAGCTTTCATGTGCATATGAGGCAAGTGAAAATACCATCTTTGAGTCAGGAGAACTTAGTCTTCAAAGTGACCCCAAGCCACTGTCAGTGATTTGATTCTGACTCATAGAAACCCTACAGGCTGAGTAGAACTGTGCCATAGAGTTTCCAAGGCTGTGAATCTTTACACAACCAGACTTCCTTGTCTTTCTCCCATGGAGCAGATTGAGGGTTTAAACCTCTGACTTTTTGGTTAGCAGCCAAATGCTTTAACCACTGTGCCACCAAAGCATATTTTTTCAAAGGAGCTTATTGGTCCATTTATTTGGACCAGTTAGTCCAGGACTTTGTTTTCTTTATGTTAAGTTGTAATCCATACTGAAAGCTGTAGTCTTTGATCTTCATCATTAAGCACTTCAAGCCCCTTTCACTTTCAGCAAGAAAGGTTGTATCATCTGTGTATCACAAGTTCTTGATGAGTCTTCCTCCAATCCTGATGCCACATTCCTCTTCAGATAGTCCAGTTGTTCAGATTATTTGCTCAGCATACAAATTGAATAAGTATGGTGAAAGGACACAACCCTGACGCACACCTTTCTTGATTTTCAACTACACAGTATCCTCTTGTTCCATTCAAACCACTGCTTCTTGGTCCATGTACAGGTTGTACATGAGCACAATTAAGCATTCTGGATTTCCCATTTATCTGAATGTTATCGATAATTTGTTTTGATCCACGCAATTGAATGCTTTTCTGTAGTCAATAAAGCAGAGGTAAACATCTTTATAGTAGTCTTACTTTCAGCCATGATCCGTTTGACATCAGCAATGATATCCCTTGTTCCACACCCTTTTCTGAATCCAGCTTAAATTTCTGGCAGTTCCCTGTTGATGTACTGCTGCAACCATTTTATAATTACTTTCAATTAAATTTTATTTGCATGTCATATTAATGATATTGTTTGAGAATTTCTGCATTCTGTTAGATCACCTTTCTTTGCAATGGGCACCAATATGGATCTCTTAGAATCAGTTGGCCAGGTAGCTATCATTCACATATCCTGGCATAGATGAATGAGCACTTCCAGCACTGTATCTGTTTGTTGAAACATTTCTATTTGTATTCTGTCAATTCCTGGAGCCTTGTTTTTTGCCAGTGCCTTCAGTGCAGCTTGGATTTCTTCCCTCAATACCACCAGTTCTTGATCATATTCTACCTCCTATGGCTGAATGTTGACCATTTCTTTTTGGTACAAGGACTCTCTGTATCCTTTCATATTCTTCTGATTCTTCATGCATTGTGCAAAAAAGTAGACCTGACAAAAGTTGTGTGATAGATATATTTACAACAACCATAAAAGAAAAGGAAAAAAAAATGCTGCTGAAACTGCTTATGTAAAATAAAACACTTTATAGGCTTTAGTTCCTTAGATTAGAAGTTTAGAGTCATGGCTTCATGGGACATCCAAGTTAAATGGCCTAATAATGTGTTCAGTTCTTCTGTTCTACTTTTCGGTTCATAGAGTAGTGTCTAGGGTCTTAAAAGCTTGCAAGTGGCCATCAAATGTATAACAATTGTTGTCTATTCACCTGGACCAACAGAGGAAAAAGGCAGGAAAGAGGCAGAAATAAAAGGAGGAAATGGAATGTGTTGTTAATTGCCTCCATGAAAAACTGCCTCATTTGCTATAAGACCAGGAAAACTGGACAGTGCCCAGCTACCATTACTGAACATTTCTGTCAAAGATTCTATAGAAGAATCCTGATCAAATGGACGAAAATGCAGAACTGACTCTCAAATTCTCATGGAACCCATACACACATGGAGGCTGGATAAACCCCTGAAACTATCACTCTTAGATAATGTTTTAGCCTTAAACCTTAAATCAAAAATGTCCCCTGAACTCTTCTTAAAACCAAACAACAGTTTAGTTTAACTAGTAAAGAGTGTCTGCCTTGAGCACTGTGTTCCTTTAAGATCTACATATATGGCGTCAAACTGATAGCAGCAAGTGGAAAGATTATATAGGAAACTTAAGGGGCAATGAGTTTATGTTAATGGGGGATGAACAACTTGGAAAAGGAGGATGAGAATGGTTACTCAACTCAAAGAATGTTAACAATGTCACTGCATTGCATATGTAGAAATTGTTGAATTGGTGTATGTTCTGCTTTGTATATTCTCAACAACAAAAGTAAAATCAATTATTTAAGAAAAAGTGTTTTAGAGACTGATAATACTAAATGTTCTCAAAGATACAGAGAAATGGGAATTCTCATATATTTCTGGTAGATATGGCATAACCACATTGGCAAACCATTTTGTGGTTTCTTAATAAGCTAAACATAAATTCACAATATGATCCATCAATTCTACTCTTAGTATCTACCCAAGAGAAATCAAAATATATGTCCACACAAAGACTTAGACAGACTTAGACATAGCGGCATGATGTATTTATAACAGCCAAAGTATTGCCTATTATAAATGTTCATTTACAGCAAATAGATACAGAAAATGTGGTATACCCATAGGCTGGAATACCAGTAAGCAATGAAAAGGAAAGGAATGTTGATTGATACATGCTACAACCAGGATGAACCTTAAAAATATTTTACTAAGCAAAAGAAACCAGGTACAAAAGATTACATTGTATGGTTCTATTTATATGAAATTTCCAGAAAAGGCAAATCTATAGAGATAGACAGCAGATCAGTATTTAAATGGAGCTAAAGGTGGGAGCAAAGATTGAATGTAAGCAGGCAATGAAGAAATGTTTGGGGGTGATAGATACCTTCCAAAACTCCATGGTAGTTCCATAACACCATAATTTGCTAAATATCATTAAATTATACACTTACAATGTGGCCCTCAGTGGCAATTAGATTGTCCAAGTAACTGCCAAAATGTTTGCTTATTGGCACTATCCTAAATAAATTAAATATGCATTCTTGCTCTTTTTATGAAAACTGACCAAGGAATGTATGTAGGAGGTCAATCATTAAATTTCCTTTTCTACCACATCCAATAGGTGCCCTGGTAGTATAGTGGCTAAGACACTTGACTGCCAACCAGAAGGCTGGTGATTCAAACCCACCAGCCACTCCTTGAAGGGAAGATGGGGCAATCTACTTCCGTAGTGATACTGCCTCAGAAACCCAAGGAGGGGTCGCTATGAGTCGAGTCCGACTCAACAGCACATAACAACAATATCAACAACACCCAGTATTTACTTCCTTCCTATTACTACACTACTTATAGTTATCATCACAGAAATAAACGAAACCTAGGGATTTGGGGAATATAAAACAATGATGAACTCTGATATAAGTGTTTTTTCTCACTAGCAAACTTGTGGGGTCTCCCAAAGAATACATAATCAATCAGGAGAGGGCATTATCAGAGTTTCCCTGTATGCAAGCTTATCCCAACGTTTATCCAAGGACTCTAGGTTCCTAGCCTGACTATACTAAAAAAAAGTTGTCTATAGACTCTTATGCAATACTGATGCTATTCCCTGACTCTTACTGAGTCTATCTAAAAAAACAGCCTAAGATAATGCATAATGATATACTTACCAAAAGAAATGTCCGAATGGTTCTTATTTTGTTAAGTTCAAAAAGCAATTTTTGTGCCTTCTCATGGTTGCTACAATATTCATCATAGATACGAAACTTGTCTTTCTGTGAATTCAAATAATAAGAAAATATCATCATGCTATTAGAATTGGAGATAGACTTATAGTTATACTCCAATATGATGCAGGGATTAATAGATACATGAACCAAAAGGTAGTTACACACAGAGAATACCTAGCTTTGCCAGAAAGATTCAGATACAGCTTTAAAAATCTGAGAAAGGTCCATGAAAATGAATCCATGATTTGTAGGCAAGAGAAGGAAGAGAGTCATTTTAGGTCGAAGGAAAACATTAGCCAGATCATATCAGAATGGAAGAATATAGTACTATAGAATTATATAAAAAGCTGGACAATTAGGTTTAAGGGGGACATGGACAAACTGGAAACTATCCAGAAACAAATGACAAAGACAATAATAAATCTTGAACACACTAGAAATGAGAGACCATTTCAGAAAGAGATATGTTACCATACAAAAGTCAGGAAATGGTAGCTACCTTCAAATAGTTGCCATATTGAAAAGAACTTACAATTCTACATAGCTCCAAAACACAAAACTAGGACCACTAGGTGGAAATTTCAAGTTAAATGATGGACAGATTTGGGATCAATATAAAGCTCTTATCTAACAATAAGAGCTATCACTAAAAGTGATCAAGGAGAAACAAATTAAACATCTTTCATAAATGATATAAAGGAGATTATTTCAAAAAGACATTTCACTATTGTGATCTCTAAATTCCCTTCTACTTGCTTCAAAGAGGAGATGATCAATAGCTATCAAAGCAGTACCAACAAAAAGAGGAAGACACAAAAAAAGTATTGATTAACTATTAGAACAAAGTGTATCCTTTGAAATTTCAAAGACATGCCTTTAGAAAAATTACGTGCTATTTTAGATAGCCTGTAGATAATATTTTGAGTCACTTATTTCAAAAGACAGTATGAACCAGAATAAAATAAACTTCAGAAATAGTTCAGCTAAATTCATGGATGATAGACTCATAATGTGCTACTGAGGAAACAGATATCAGGGTGCAAGAGTCCCATGTGCAGCCTCAACATTAAGACAGTAACTACTCCAACTGGCAGAAGATTTCAACTCTTATAAAAAGGAACAGACTCCAGTAAGTGGACACAAACATGCCTGGCCTCCAGCTGTGCCCAAGAAAAGCACAGCTTGACCTTCCTACACCCCAGGAGGTTGTACCTTTAATGTAATTACCTTTAGGGAATATTTTCCAACTAAAAAAATAACATATACAGAATCTGCTCACTAGTTACAGAAATATGACCATCTTCATAAAAGACTAAGTGAAAAATAAAAATAAACAAAAATTGATTTCTATGACAGTATGCTGTTGCACATTTTTAAATAGAATGTTAATTATGTAGCAGTTGGATAAATGCATGTAGATTGGTACCCTGAAGACTAGCATTCATGCAGTAGTAGTATCAATAGCAGCACTCTTGCATTCTTTTTTTTTTTTTTTTTTGGTATGAATGCCCTTTAGTTCTGAAAACAATTTTTACTTAACAGGTGGCTTTTTACTTGCATTTATTTTGATTACATAAATAAATTCAGCTATCATGTAAAAAGACATGAAAATGGTCACAAATGTAGATTCTAGTCAAATGACATCTGAAAGGTGTACTGGCTGGCTATTCTGCACTACTCAGTACAGCCTTCTGAGGAGCCATCTCCTCCTTAAGAGAAATTCAGAGGCAGGCAGATAAGTACCTAGAGTCACTCAGTTTGCTCACCTCCAGGTTTGTCACAAGTAGTTTAACAAGGAGACGTTCCAATAAAAGACTCATTGTGTCATTATAAGAGCAAGGATTTTCTGCCTTAAGACTAAAGTGTTCTATGTTTGAAGGGAACATATGGATATTTATCCATTAATTATAAACAGCCTGAATGTCCATTAGAATTCAAACTTACATAGGATGTGAACGACTAACTGGTTGGGAGAAAGAAAAGGCTGTTTATTTTCCAATGAATAAAACAGATGATATGAGGCACTCTCCCCTTTTCTGGCTCTAAATGGAAGACTCCATTGGCCTTAAAAGACCCCAAACCTTTTAGTTTGTGTCAAGTTTTACTTCTAGCACTTAATCTATACATACTACCATGCCAAAAGCTAATCCTTAAAATATAGGAGGAAAGAGCTTTAAAATAAACATAGAAATTTATCCTACAAAGTGTAGAAAGCAGGTTCCCACTTCTTGTTGAGCATTGGGTTCAGGATGCAAGCATTCTTCGATAACTTTTAAAAATTCTTTATGTACTGCAAGGATGTCTTCAATGTTTGAGAAGAGCATCTGTAAATAAACATGTGTAAGTAAGTACTGTAGTAAAGTAAATTAAAAAAAAAAAAAAGAGAGAGAGAGAAATGGAAATCAAGGAGAGTATGGTATTATCCCTCACAGCTGAAAACCTCCGTGGTTAAACTACCAATTGCCACAGAGCACATTCTGACTCAGAACGACGCAGTGTGTTCAGAGTAGAACTGTGCTCCACAGGGTCTTCAATAGCAGACTTTTTGGAAGAAGACCATAGACCTTTCTTCCAGCGTACATCTGGGTGAACTTGAACCTCCAACATTTCACTTAGCAGTGAAGCATGTTAACTATTCATACCACCCAAGCACTACCCATGGTTAACTACCCACATCCATTCCACCCTCCCATATTATTGCATATACCTTCCACTCCCACAAAATTCTAGGAAACCAGCCTTCAGAGCAACCCCCACTGGCAGAAACCAAGCATAGTCCCACCCACTAAGAAGGGCTACAAGTAAGACAGTGTAGACATATTTGATGGCAGGCTTTTTGGGAAAAGGCTTCTTTGCTTTTAAGAAGGGCACCTTAAAAAGAACAATCTTTTTCTTCCTTTGGAAGATGCCATATGTGGAAGTAAAGCCAAGACACTTACAAAAGTCATTGTTTAGACCTGGGAGAAACCAGTACAGCAATGAAGCTGATACCTGGATGCTGGAATGAAGAGCTGGAGGGAACCTAGCAACCATGGAAACGTCACTGAGTACTTTCTTTTCTGTCTGGAGTTCCTAATATGTGAGCTAAAGTATCTTTAAGTCCGTTTGAGTAATACATTTCTTTTGCTTGCAACCAAAAATCATAACTAAAAAATTCTCATGGTAAGAGAATTTGAAGGCTATGTGTTTAACTGATGGGGAAACAGAAATAGCATTCCCTATCAAAATCTACAACTCTTAAAAATACTCTTATTTTTCTTAAAATAAAACAGTAACTTAGTATGCTAAATAAATATCAATGATAATTTTTACCCCTAGGATGAGTAATAATGACTATAGTACCAAGTTTTCACCTACTGTGGCTTAACATCTCACAAATTTCCTTGCCTGCAATTTAAAAGAAGTGCTTATACATGTGTTTCTTAGTTGAAGCTCTTATGTGGACTTCTCTTTCTGCACTAGTGGACCATCCAGATCCATTGTTCTCCCGTGATGGCAGAGATTGGAACTCTTGTTTGCCCACATCCTGCCTTCCTCCTTTGCCTCCAGCAATCTTTTGTACACATTGACCCGCTCCCTCCCTCCTCGTAGACATTAAGTTTCTAAATCTCAGGTTTATTTTTCTTCCTTTTTACAAACATTACCAAAGCTTCACAACAAAATATTCATATCTCTTCTGTGTCATCCTATTAACCTCTTGTTTCTTTCCCCAAACACTATTGCCCTTCTTCTAACTGTCACCAACACAAGTGACTGAAGACAAATTTAAATGTTTTAAAGTAACATCCTACAGTAAAATTTTATCTAAAGGGACCTTGTGCTTGGGTCAAGGGCCAATTGTACTTCCTCACCTTCACTGTTTCTTCTGTTACATTTTTGTCAGCTTTGGATGCAGCACACTGGTTCATTCGGTGTAAAAATGCCTGCATGAAACAAGAAAAGGTATTATGAAAGTAACATCATTTAAAAAAATGATTAGATACTGATCAGAAATAATTTTTTTACAAGAAAATTTTCAAAACCCAGTTGTTGAATATTTGATATAATCTGTTACAAAAGGTGAAAGCTTTATTGCTGCTCCTACCTAGGAATTATATAATTCTTTTATAGTGTTTTAGAGCAGGGCCAAAGGTGATCAAGTATCTATGAATAAATTTACCCACCAGGGTCTCAAAATAAGTGGCAAAAATCTACTTCTAAGAAAAACTTCTAAGGCTCAGAAAGCAAAAAAAGACCAAAACATAATTTTTTTAAATGGCATTTCTAATGAAAAAACAATGGAATTGGATTGAATTCCTTAAGACTATTACAACAGAGAGAGACTCTGTGTGTATGTGTTCTGTGACTGTCAATAATTATTTCCAGGACTGGCACTTCAAGAAGGAATAAGAGAATTTTTAGCAAGCCAGAATTTGTAGTTCAGGGGTCAGGTCATATCCCTTCATATTCTATAGTAGGCAAATAAACTCATCAGTATTGCTAAGACTTGGACCCAGCCTGATGGTCATTAAGTTTTGACTGCTAACTAATGAAGCTTTCTAGTCAACTGGGACTCGTGTTGACTCCATTTGTGTCAGAGTAAAACTGTGCTCCACAGGGTTTTCAGGGCTGATTTTTCAGAAATAGATCATTAGGTATTTCTTCCAAGGCACCTCTGGGTAGACTCAAACCTCCAACTTTTTAGTTAACAGCCGAGAGTATTAACCATTTGCACCACCCAGGGACTCCAATGGCTACATAAATTCTTATTATTGCAAGATAATGAATTATTTATATTAGGCCTTAAAAACTAAAATTTAGACAGAAAGGAGAAGGGGCTTCCCATCTGGCAAATTTGATTTGTGTCCTCTGAGACATTGTCCATCAACTCCCTTGTCTGCCTTAAGGAGTTTTCTTACTATCTGCAAAGGCAGAATACGACTTCAAAGCCTACAAACTCCCTGGACATCTCTAGGGAACATCTGGATACTACATCAAATGAAAATTAAGATAATATATATTGTTGTTATGTGCCATCAAGTCTGCCAGACTCACAACAACCCCTCCCTGGGTTCCCGAGGTGGTATCACTACAGAAGTAGATTGCCCAACCTTCCTTTCGAGGAGTGGCTGGTGGGTTTGAACTGCCAGCCTTCTGGTTAGCAGTCAAGTGCCTTAGTTACTACGCTACCAGAGCTCCTA